ATATGGGGGGACGCCGTAACCACGGAGCTATCCCACCAGCGCGGGTTTCTTTTTACTCAGTTGTTTTCTCGGCTCTGCCTTTTGGTTTGTTGGTCGCTCTGCAGTGGTGATTGGCCCGCCAGGGGACCCGTCTGTTGAAGGCGACTTGTCTAGCTCTGATCTGGTATGAGTTTGATCTTGGGGTTGTAGCTCAGAAGGCAAACCTGTTTTCCCCTCAGCATTCTTAGAAGTAAATGCTCGTGGCCGTAGCTGAACAAGGTACCTGTTATTTAATAGCCTAAAACCCGGGAGCGAAGGGCGAGCGGTAAAGCAGGCTTGTCCCCGTTAATCCCGCCAGATGCGGTCATCCTGCTGTGGAAGGTGAACGACAGCAAGGAGCCCGAGCAGGTGGCCTTTCAGGACGAGGACGAGGCGGAGCTGAACAAGGAGAACTGGACGGTGGTGAAGACGCTGAGGTGACAAGCACTCTGACTTTTGTATCTCACGTGAAACTTTTCCGTATGCAAGACAGAAATAAGAGAATGGTTTTAAAAGAGAAAGGCATGATTAAAATGGATTTCCTGAGTTTCTGCTAACAAGTAAAATCGAATCAGTTTTAAAGACAGACAGATATCCTTGGATGTGGTCGGTCTGGCTGTAGCTCAGATAGTCCCAGCGGCAGTTTCTAACATCCCATTCTAACGTGTGGTGCCTGGATCTGCCTTTAAACTTCTTGTCCTCTTTCTCTCCTTTCCCCCGTCCCCCCTGGACTCCAGGGGCCACCTAGAGGATGTGTACGATATCTGCTGGGCCACCGATGGCAATTTGATGGCTTCCGCCTCTGTGGACAACACGGCCATCATCTGGGACGTCAGTAAAGGTAGCTGATACGCTTTTGTTATTATCCGGGGAGGAACATCCTCCGTGTCTACAAAGCCTAACCTGCTTTATCTTTAAAGGCATCAGAAGCGTTTGTTTCTTTAAGGAGCTAAAACGAGTTGGGTACAACAGGTTAGGGATTAGCCCAGGTGCCGTGTATCCAGCTCAGTTTGAGGGTCCCAGGCAGGAAGCCTGGGCTTAGGGTGGTGTCCTGAGTCCCTGGTGCCGAGCAAGGTGGGTGCCCCGTGCCCGGGAGGCAGCCGTGGAGGGACAGGCTGACCCCTGCCTTCGTGGTGCTTAGATCTGGGGAAGTCTCCATTCAGGGGCATTCCCTGCTCTGTGTTGGTAGGCAGGACCAAGGTTCCATTTCAGGAGGTGAAAGCACCTTGCTGCCTTTTTTTTTAAAAAAAGTGTTTTTATTGATTTCAGAGAGGAAGGGAGAGAGAGATAGAAACATCAATGATGAGAGAGAATCATTGATCAGCTGCCTCCTGCACGCCCCACACTGGGGATCGAGCCTGCAACCCGGGCATGTGCCCTGACCGGGAATCGAACTTGGTGCAAGGGTTGATGCTCAACCACTGAGCCACGCCAGCCAGGCCCTCACTGCTTTGAAAGAACCTGTTCTCTAGTTGGGGATGCAGTAGACACATGAGAAGTTATCTGCTGGGGTTCTTGTTCCTGCATCAGGAAGGGTTCAGGAATCTGGAGAAGGCTGTGCGTAGATTAAATAGGAGTCCAGAGACGAAGTATAATTTTGAAAGGCATTTGGGGGTCAGAGGAGCCTAGTTTAAAGGAAACTAAGATCTAAGTTCTCCTCGTCTCAGGACCCCATGCTTTTTATTAACACAGTTTGTCCTGAGGCGAGGCAGAGAGATACACTTCAAAGGGTAGGGTTTTCGTATACAGAGGCATTGTCAGAATGGAAGAATTAGCCTACGGCTGTTCAGGTGTTTGGCCAGTAGGAGGCAATAACATGTAGATTAAGATGCCCTGAGCTGTCTGACAGCCAAGCAATCATCCCTTTTCACGTTTGGGGAAATGCCTTCAGCCATTCCCAACAGGTGACAACATATGTGACTCACCCCTTGTTAAGTCCCCAAGTTCCATCAACCTTTTGATGAAACTCTTGCAATTATGACATGCTAGAATTGGTTTCCGGCAGTTATTTATACTAATAAAAGGGTAATGTGCTAATTAGGGAGGACGTCCTTCCAGACAAAGCCACAGCAGCTGCCAGGGCCAAGGGTGCTCAGGTCGGGCCAAGGCTGCACTGGCTGTGAGGGCCAAGGCCCGGTCCAGCGCCATGGTCCCTTTTGCAGAGGCCATGGGAGAAGGGAGAAGGTGGCAGTTAGGCAGTTAGGGGGATCAGGCAGGAGGGGAGAGCAGTTAGGCAGTTAGGGGGTCAGGCAG